GTCAAACAGCATTTTTTCCTTCATTTCAAGTACTTGGCTGATGTAGCCAGCGCAGCTGCCCAGAAATCAGAAATATTTAGCTCTCTGATTTCCCATGATGATTGATAGCTATTAATATTTAGAGTCCAGACTTCTGTGGAAGAAATGGTGCCTTCTGTGGCATGACAGTGGAGACCTGCAGTTTTACTTGAACTGGGAAAGAGTGAGGTGGGGAGCCTCCTTCCCTAATAAAAGGAAGGATAAAGCATCTTTGTAATGACAACGTTGCAGAGAAAGTGTTTCTTTGCTTATCAAATGCATCATAGGACAGTCTGTCCAGTCTGTTTAGTACCATGTCTGTAACGGCCATACATAACGTGTGCTCTGTTCTTTTATATGGCCAGGAGCTGCAGAAATCAGGAGGGCACCTGTTACTGTTATCTCAGAAGGGCTGAGCACATTCCTTATGAACGCAGCCTTCTTCAGAAGATCTTCACTTGGGATCCAAAGCCAGCGATCTCTTGGTTGAGCTATATTATCCCAACAAAGGCTTTCTTGGAACATGTGTTGCCACTAATCACTATTTCATGAATGGTATCTGTTGTGGTGTAATACATTTTTTCAGACTCAAAAAACTGATTTTCCCCCAAATCAACAAAACACAGTCCCTGCTGCAGAGGTACAATCCACCCAGCTGGTTCCGGTTTTTTCATCTCGTTGGCTCTTGCATTAATGTCTCAAGGAGCAGATAATAGCCAGTGAATGCACAGGACAGCAGAACCAAACAATGAAAGTACCCTGAGAGGCTGGGCTGGGAGACACAATTTCATACTGTTCCCAAGAGAGGAAATGGACTGCACAAACAAAAAGGGTGGATGAAATTAAGTTTCCACCATCAACATTAATGTCAGCTGATTTCCCTTTGAGTCTTCTGTACTGTTTGACCTCTCCAAACTCTGTAGCTCTTCCCATGGCACGCAAGCCATAAAGATATTGTTTATAGGATAGCTGCATTCATGTGGGTTGACAATGGCAGAAGCAACTGCTCCCTTCATTCCGGCCTCTGCTTAGCCCACAGAGCCAATGGTTTTGCTCTTATCAGGGCCTTCTGCAGGCAGGCCCTGTGAACTTCTTCGTGCAAACATGCTTGTTGGTGTAATTCCCCAGTGTTACCCCACTTCTCAGAAGAGCTGGTAATCACTTGGACTAAAATGACTCCTGAGCATCCCTGACCTAATCCTGTGCTAAACTAGTCACAGGTTAGTCATGTAGTGCAGTCTGTTCTTAATGACTGTCAGTCTGTATTACAGAGGTGGTCAGACACTGGGGGTCTCTCCCATGGGATGAACCTGTGAAGTGCAAAGAGTGACAGCCTGTTGTGTTGATGATTTGCTTAACTCTTTAAACACACTTGCTAGGTAACACCCTGTCAGCTGGGGTTATGGAGTGTTCTCTCCATCTCTCTGGGAGAGCTGAGGAAGGGAGAATCTACATTCAAAGTTGTAGTTCACAGGTGGGTGCCCCTGCTTTTTATGTGTGTGTGAGTCCCTGTACAACAGTGTCATGCTTATGTCTCACCTTGATTACTTATGCTTCAAATCGACCTTATTCTCAAAGCTTTTATGTTTGTTGCCACATTGGCTCTTTTTTTCCCTTGCTAGGTCTCTCAACTACTTCATTTACACTTGTATTTGGACCAGAAAAAAGGGCAGGTAATCTGCTGAATGCTTCTGCTTACATCTAACTAACATCTGCCTCCTTGCAAAAGACTAGTTTGAGCTGTTTTCAGCTGAGATTGGTCTCAGGACAGATGCTGTTTGCTCTGCTTCCAGTAGGTAGATCCTATGTGCTGAGCTTTAAAAGCCTCTCCTTGATCTCACCAGCAAAATGCCTTCCAAGTCCTCTGCTGGCAGTAAGAGACTCCAGCAGTCAGGCAGGGAGCTCTGAATGCAGAAAAACCATCTAACCCAGGTTGTTGCTGCTGTGTTGGCCAAGCTGCCATGTCTGCTTTTGGTTTTTTTCACTAATGGACAGAGGGAGCCTCGTTCCCATTGCTGTGATCTCATTAGAATGGTTGGGCTTGCAGTGGGGCTAGAGAGACCAGGACTTGGCCCAAAGGTGAAGATGGATTTCTGCAAGCATTTTCTGACAGGGGTGGCTGGGGAAGTCCTGCTGACACTGTAGCAATAACTGATGCCCTAGGAGTATGCACTGCCCCTGGTAGCAAGTGTCTGCAGGATGGAAGCTGTAATATGCATGCAGACGTGTCTGCTACTGTGTAACAGGAGTTACAGCAAAGAGAGAGGAGAAAATTAACAGGTTTAGAATTGTGCTGGAAGTGCAGTGATGTGACTTAGTGTTCCCTTGCCTGTCCATTAACTAATGATCCTAAAACGCGAAAGGCCAGAAGGTGCCATCCTGCATTAACAGAAAGCTTCTCTTACATGACTTGGCAGTTTTTGATTCCTGATTTGTGTCCAGTCACTGTGCTGTTACAGTTTCAGCTGCAAAATGGAGTTTCTAGTTATAAAAGATGCTCTGAAGCCTAAATAATGTCTGCAGAATTCTTTCAGATGGTCTAACTGAAGATATGATGAAATCCAGACGCTGTTAATTGTTTATATTTCGATTATACTTAATGAGACTTTGTTACATATATTGCAGATTTTAAGATTATGTTCGTAACTTTATTTTCCTAGAGACTGTATACAACCACCTACAAATGTAGAAGAATTTTTATGAATGATTCCATAGTATGTAGACTCAGTTTTTTCCAACTCTTAAGTCCACCTCCCTTTTAAAACTTGTATTTTTAGATGTGAATGCAGAGATGAACTCTGGAGAGGCAAAGTAATTCTGTTGCATTGCCTTTTAGAGTATCTGTCATGATATTGACTGCAGATTTTGGAAAGGACCAAAATTTCTGATCCTTCCAGGCTATGTTGGTTGGGTGAGTGTTTGTGGCTTGGGCTGTTAACACTGGGTTAATGTTCTTTACTAGGAGGTGATGTTACCATGTGCTTTTTGGTGTTTGTCTTCTGTCCTGTCAGTGCCACTGAGCCCTGTTCCAGTCTGGCCCTTCTCTGCTCCTTCCCTGAGAAAACAAATAATGAGAAGCATACATTAGGTCCTTGTTCTAAAGCTTTTAGATCATTCTGTGCCATTATATCACAGGTTGCAGTGCAAAAAATAACTTAATTTTCAATGCAAAAGAGTGTATTAGTGTCATCTTCCCTGCCAGGTTGGTCTGAGACATGAATCTCATCTCTAATCTGACTCACATCCACATACAGAAATCACTCTGTGGAATGAAATGCTATTTGGGTTAGCTGGCTGAGCAAAGCAGCTGGGAGGAGGCTAAAAGCTTGAGTTCTGCTGACATTTGAGCTGGTGGTGCAAGAGAAATACAGCACTCGTGGTACAGCAGCTTATCAATTGCTAAGCCCTCAGCTTCGCTTGTCCAGTCATTCTGCAACAGCAAAATATTAGCTAGTGATCTGATTGCTCATAACAAGTTCTTGCTAGGGAGCTGTCTGTTGTAGTCAGACTCTGGGGTAGAATGTCTGGTGTCCCCTTTAATCAGCACCGACAACTGGGCGGCAGTGCGGGAATTTGAAGAGCCTCAGAATGTTTTGGGTTGGAAGGGACCTCAAGGATCATCAAATTCCAGCCCCCATCACCTGCTCACGTCCAGTTTTTCTGCCACCTACACCCCGAGTCCCTCTGTGCAGTGCTGCTCTCAGTCCATTTATCCCCCCCGCTCTGTGCTGATGTTTGAGATTGCCTTGATCATGGTGCCAACCGAGCATGCACAGAGAGGTGTTAAGACACCAAATGTTCAGTAAACTGAAGAGAAAAACCCTACTGTGGCTTCCTGGCTGCCTCCACCAGGTGACTGCCCTACAAAGAACAGCTCAGTTTTACTGTGCTTAATGGTGTGTGTTTCTACTGATGATGTTTCAGTGCAGCACTGAAGGAGTTATCACCATGTGCTCTTTGGTTCTTGCTGATGTAGAAAAGTGCTGTAGTCTGGGATGAGCAGCCTGTCTGTGGCTGAACTGATATGCTTTGGAAGTCTGAATCCTGAGAGGGTTTTTCAGCCTGAAGCTTTTTATAAAGAAAAGTTGGTATATTACTGATCCAGCATTTCCTTGAATGTAGAGACTGAAAGTTGCCACGGCAACTTTGGTTATAAGCACCTTGTGCTGTGTCTAACTACAGTGCCTAAAAGTAAGTTGCTAAGGAAATTATATAGGGTAGAAGCACTGATTTCTCATTACTCTGCTTGTGAAATTTCTGAAGTGATGCTGGTAAATCAGTACTTTCAGGTAACTCAGTACATCAGCATGTCAATGCCATTTCACTAAGGGACAGGCACGGAATGTCTTTGTCTCTTGACTGAGAGCTAGTCTGAAAAGCAACACAAATGGAAGGAGTTTATTTCTTCCTTAAGCTGCATGAGAAAAGCACAGGAATAATTATTTGCTTTTAAGAATAACTTTTTATTACATCCAAATTTCAAATGTGCTGTCCTCTGAAAATTCTTAGTGTGACTGAGAACTGCTGGATGAGTGTCATCATAGAGGATTAACTTCAAAAGGAAATTATTTTGATGTGGACCATTTAATTGCAGTTCTGAAACAAGAACCTCGTATCACTGAAGAAAAGTACCTACCAGAAAGTTCCTACGTCCTCCTCCTCCAGATGTGCCCAAGGCTGCTCCAAGTTCAAATGACTGCGTTGAAGAATCAGAGATGCTCTCCATCACAGTTTCAAATGATCACATTCTGTGCACAGAACCACTCTAAACGGAAGAGCAAAGACAGTAAAATGATGCTTTTAACACTCATTTACATCCTCTCTAGGTTACTGGAGCAGGCAATTTTTTTCTTTCCCTGTTGTCCTAATGGTCAAACTTTCATTCATTTTCATTTCATTCAGTGAGCCGGGGAGAAGGAATGTTTGAAATGCACTGTCTAATCTAACTTCTGTGTATGTCATTTGCTTGCTTGTTTAACTAGGGACAGGGGGCCCTGTCTGAGAGACTAAGGAGCTTTAGCATGCAGGATCTCTCAACAATTCGTGGTGACAGCAGCAGCACTGTTCCTCCTTCGGTCACTGTACGAACAAGTAGCAAACAGAGCCAGCCAAAAACATCCAGAAGTGCATCGGAAGGCACTGGCAGCTCAGGTAAGTGCCAGCGTTATTTTCGGTGTTGTGTTGTCTGGAATATCACACAGCTTAATGAAGTCATGCAGTTGGCAGGAATATATAGAAACAGACATTGCAGGCAGCACATACCAGAACTCACAGGACACAGACACACTGTTGAGTCTCTTGGCACTTAAAGAGAGAGAACAGTATTGTTTGATGGTTACTATTCCTGACTGGTACCAAGGACTGGACTTGTGCATGCAGGGAGCCAGTATCAGCCTTCACTAGCTGAAAAGTTGGGTTTAGGGCTAAAATCAGTGGTAGGTTTTCAAAGAGAGGCACTAATGGTGGGAAACATGGTGGGAAAGAAATCCATTCCTGTATACACCATTAACAAATTTTGCTTTCATTTGTGGCAAGTGATCCAAAGATAGTGTTCATGTCCAGAATAGAAAACTCTTACTCAAACACAAATAAAGAAAACCTTCCAAACCCTCCATCCATCCCATCTCTCTTACTTATTTCATTGAGGTTCCTCACTCTGCTTGTTGCAGAGCCCTTCTCCCCTCACAGCCAATGCAGACAGGCATCACTAAGGGGCTTTTGCACTCACTTTAAATCAAATTAAGTAAAATGAATGGTCCTGATCTCTCCAATCCTTGTGCTGTTTTGTGTGGGCACAGTTATGTATGTAGTCAGAATGACTAGAGGGGCAAATTGATCAGTCATAACTAGTGTGTGTGTGTGCATATAGAAGAGTGGGATCTATCAGCCTGTATGAGGCCCTGAGAGCTGCACACCAAGCCTAGGCATAGTCTCACTGCTTCACCTTCTGTGTTTGCTTAGTTGGAATTTTGCGTGAAAGCAAGGGAGAGAAAGAATATGCTGCCCATTAGTGTGCCACATGTGCATATTATATATTATATATTATATATGGGCATGTGCATAGACAGTTGCTACCAAACAGCTGACATACAGCTCTTTTTCCTGTCCCAAAGCCCTGAGATAAGACAAATATCCATGTCAGCAATCCCCACTGTCTCACAGTGAAACATTAGACTTTTCTTTACATTCCTGTTTTAGAGATAATGGCAGTAAGTTGGTCTGACATCAGAGAGAGTCAGCAAAAATACCCCTGCCTGTTTGAACTGAGGATGACTCAGATGGAGATCACTGCTTTCTTGAAAAGGTCCCAGAAGCCACCAGCCATGAGAAAGCCTGACAGCAAGAGCTGGGATGCATGGAACAGCTTTAGGAAAGTTAACAGAGAGCTTGGCTAGGACTGCATACACTTCCTGCAGTAGAAATCCTGCTTTATGGAGGCTTGTAGGGAAAGCTGGAGCGAACAGGTCTTGCATATGCAAGAGAGGCAATGTGGTGATCAGGGGGAATCACAACTGAGTTCAGACCCTGCTTTAGTACAAAATGCTGGTGTGACCTGGAGCGTCCTCAGTGTGTCTGTAAACCAGGACAAATTGCACTTTCCATGGCCAAATCCTGAAAGCCTCGTGTGATAGAAGATTCTCATGTATTTTAGGGTGTATATCTTAGAAGATGTCTTATGTACACCTTACATTAATGATCAGAACATGTAAAATACCTGATCGGTGCCGCAGTCCTGACTGCAGATCCATCCCAATCTTGCAAGGTTTCTCAGTTGCTATTTGTTAGGTAGTTCTCCATCTTATCACTACCTCTGAGAAGTTTCTGGACATCCGAAGTGTCCCTTATTTTTTCCTGTTCTCCTATTCTGTCCTTCCTTTCCCCATCCAGGCATCTGAGGCACTGCATGTGGGTGTGCTGTGATTTAGTTGATTTGATATGGGTTCCAATATTCCCATAGCCCTTCTTCTGCCATTCATTCATCCTGGTGTTTCCCTGCTCACTCTCTCATCCTCCATTCATTCTGACCAATTACAGCTGTATGCAATTACAGCTTTCAGTGTCAGTGTCCACATTTATAATGTCAGTAACTGCAGCAGGGACAGTAACCCGAAGTATTATATTTTGCCTAGGTGCTTTGGGATGTGCTGATGTGCTAGTGGGGTTTGCTTGAGGAAGGAGGCATTGCTAGGCCAAAGCCAGCCTACAATGGGGAAGCCAAGCACTGCTGGAGCTGTTGTTACTCTTTACTTTGATCCTGACATCCCCATGCCTAGGAGCATGTGTGAGCATCGGTCATTTTTAAGGGACATCCACAGTCACTGTTGAAGGAATACCTACACACCCAGATTGCCCATGGGAGGGCTTTTATAGTGCTCCTGAAAGCTCCCTTTATTTCTCTCATATGGCCATCAGGGATTCTCAAAAGCTGCAGGATTTGCTTTCCATCTAGCACAGGCTCTTTATTTTCTCTGTATGCCAAACAGTGGTGTCAAGGAGAGAAGAGGAGCCTTATGATAACATGATGTGAAATGCTGCCCTCAGGACATGGAACAGACTTGCTGAAGCTATTCAAGCTGTCTGGTAGTAAAGAGCTGTGGGTGGGAAGAAATCCTGAAAGTGGTGTAGCTGTGCTCCAAAGGCAGCCAAACCACCCAGGGAAGATCAGAAGTAATTTCCTCAAGCTGTCTGTGATCTATCTAGTTTTCACTACAGAATCTGCTGACGTGTGGGGAGCTGCCCTGCTGCTCCTGCTCTCAGGTTGTGGCAGCCCCAGAGCTGTGAGACTGTGGATGCTGGGTCAGTGTCCTGGGAAATTACTGCTGTTGTTTGCCCTCCAAAGTAACTTAAGACACTTTGGAGAGATATAGCAGGAAACCAAGAGGTGAGGAACTGCAAAGTCCTCAAGTCAGCTTGGCTGCAGAACAAATGGTACCTGGAAGGACAGCCTCACTTAGAACAATATGGCAAAGACAAGATTTGTCTCCTTAGGTCTAGATTACAATTTGAGTGAATTCCTTGAGCATTGAAAACGCAGCCAGATCTGGTGTGGAACTCAGTGTTACTCGCTTCCCATCCTGTTGTATGACTGTGCATATGGGATATTGAAAAGAAAGTGATTTCTACAGACAGAGATGGAGAGGGGTCTGCTGCCTTCCCTGCACAGAGACAGCTGAAACTCAGCTCTGTTGGTATGAAAATCCCCACTACCCCAGTGAGCACCAGGAGAGCTTTGGGTTCTGGTTTCACGTCTCTGGGAATGCTTCCAAGCCCACCGAGACAACTTTCCTAACAGCAGTGGGCTTTGGCTCTGGCCAAAGGCTGGCTGCAGCATTGTGCTGTACTCCAACTACATTAAATAACCACTCAGCTACTTTCATTTCCATTGCTGTTATTTTTTAACATGTGACTGGTGCTGCTTAGATTGATTTGTGACTCCCTGAATTTCCTTTGGACAGCAAGTACTGTGTGAAGAGCTTGGCATTTAGTTAGCAGTACCAAATGCAGACACAGCAACGGTTTATTTTTGTCTGCGGAACAGTGTCTTATGAGGCTATGACATAGGATATGCCAGAGTTGCCTTTGAGACAAGGGGAATGAGCCCTACTTTTTGCTGTTTCTCCCATAGTTGCAACCAGCACTCTGGCTGAGGCAGCTGTGCTAGTGCTTGAGCAATAGCTGAGATGCTCAGCGAGCCTTTGGTGCAGACAGCTGAGCCACGGGGCAGGCACCTGAGCTATTCACACCCATCCCACAGAAAGACCGTGCTCCTCCTCCTCCCCACGCCCAATCTAAAGCCACGTGTGGGCAACACAAGAGGCAAAGGCAGCTTTGCTATGACTTGTGTCCACACAGTGTGTTACACAAAGCATTACCACTGCTTCTGTGAAGTACATGCGCACCTTTCTTCAGTGCACGCCAAGGAAACACAGTGAGCGCCCTCCCTATGCATGACAGCCCAGCCACCTGTCCTCTTTATCTCATCTCTCACTTTGCTCTTAGTTCAGCATTTCTCAATTTAGCATCCTGATGATATTATAGCTCTGATGCGTATTCCAACCTGTGCTTTTCCCCCAGGCAGAAATGTCCCTTTCATTGGGGAACTGTAAATGTGTGGCTGTTCATCATGATGAACAATTGAAGGTCCAGAACAGTGTTTCCAAGTACTTCTCAAGGCAATCCTGTTTTTCTGGCAAACGTGCCAAATAAACAGATGTGTCTGTATGAACAGCGTGGGGCTTTTGTACTTCTTAACCTTGTATTATTGCCTTAAAAGTATCCTGACAGTGCAGATGAAACTCGTTCCTTTCCAATGGCTGGTGAGTGTGACACTGTGACTGGTAGAAGGATGGTGGCCACTGTGTCTCAAAGCTCAATCCCACAGTTGATGCAAACGTGTCATGGTTGCTGATGTCTGCTGAAGCTCCCAGTGTGGGCAGGGGGCTGGAAGCCAGCCTTTATTTTGGGTAAGCCAGTGAGACATAGTTCAGCAAGCAGCTTTGCATTGCTTGACAGGACATCAGTGTCTGGAGGTGACACAGTGTGCCCAGAGTGTCCCTACAAAGGCACCTACTGCCCAGACTGAATGCCCTTACTGCTTGAGCTTTCCTGAGGCAGAGGTCATTCTTAGCTGGAATGATCTCAAAGCAGAAATATGCAGTGTGCTTTCTGACACCCCGCTGTGAGGAGAGAGTCGGGGCTGTTTTTCTAGTTTGCTTTTCCAACTTAAGCTCTGAAGGCTTAGCAGGATGGAGCAAGGTTGGGAAGTATCAGCACTCAACGTGTGCCTGGACAGCACTGTCCCCGCTGACCAGAAAAGCTCTAGGAACAGCCCATGTACGTATGTCATATGGTCTCAGAGAGCAAGCCTTCAGAAAATTGAGATTGGTTACCCTCTGTATAAAATCAGAGGTTGAAACTATGGAAGAGTTGTCAGTGTCAGCAGTGCAGGGATAATGTTTATTAAAGAAATCACAAACAGCTCAAACCCTTCTAGCTCCAGAAACTCCTTTTATCTGGAGTCACTGGTGCCACTCTGAGGATTAAAATAGGAGGCTCAAACTAGGAATGGTTTCTAGGCTGTTTCCTAAAGCACAAAGTGAAGCTGTGAAGATAACAGTTTTGTGAACGTTTGTGAATCACCTGCATTTGCA